TTACAACAAAGATTTGGGAGGAAAGAACTTTTCATGGTAGCCTCAGAAACAGACTTACTGAGCTCAACCTACTTGTGTGTTAGGGCTTACTGTATTAGAAAACTAATATAGAACCATACAATAAAACAATGAAAACAGATTATTAAAAATGTATTGACTGTACAAAAAAATAAGAAATACTACTAGTTTAAATCACTCTCTACTATCAACTTTACTATAGTAATTATGCATCAGCTACAAGAAATAGGGGGAAAGGCAATCTGTTTTATCAGAGGAAAACAACTGTTTTCAAAGAATTTAGCTGACTGTATAAACAGCTGGTATGCAAGCAAAATATTTTACAGCAGAAGAAAGCTTCCAGGGATTTCTCTGCCTTCTCAGGATTGTTTCTGACCCCCAATACCACACCAGTATTTCTCCTTTCTGACTTCCAATAACATCAGGAGTATTAAAACATCTACACGAGATAAAGCAATAGGAAATCCCCACTCTAAGCATCATGTAGACTACTATGACAGACATCAGAATTATCATTCATTAAGAGTAAATTGCCATAAAAGCTATCATTTGTAAAAATATTCCTCCAAAATAAAAATATTTGCAACGGAAAATAATAGAAAATAGGTTGTCATGAACAATGTTACAGTAACCACGCTGTTAAATTCTCTGTTAAATTAATTAAACTACGGCTATTTTTCTTCTCTTCACTAAAAAAAAAGTCTAGCCCTGGCCGGTTGGGCTCAGTGGTTAGAGCATCGGCCTATGGACCAAAGAGTTGTGGGTTCAACTCCGGTCAAGGGCATGTACCTCAGTTACGGTTCCATCCCTGGCCCTGGCCGGGGTCGTGCGGGAGGCAACCAATTGATGTGTCTCTCTCACATCAATGTTTCTTTCTCTCACACCCCTCTCCCCACTCTATCTGAAAAACCAATGGAAAAATATCCTTGGACGAGGATTTTTAAAAAGTCTATTTTCTAACTGCCCAAATATATGTACTATTTCCCAAAGGCAAGCACTACTGAGCAATTCTACCACTCCAAGGTCACAAACAGGGCTCCAATCAGGCATATCTAACAGGAACTCTTTTCAGTATATATATTTTGTAAAAGCAATTAAAATGAACCTAGAAATACACACCTAGCTGAGAACAGACCGATGAAAAGAAAACACATGTGTACTTCATTTTAACAAAACCATTGTTAGAAAAGATTAACCAACCACAAAGTTTCTTAAAGCAGCTACATTCCAGTGTTGTTTGCAATACTAACTACTTGGCAGACAGGTAAAGAGACAGGGAATAAAAAAAGCTAAAATGTTGATCTATGAATTAACTAAGCCACTCTCCCCTGCCCCCAAAATTCGAACCTTAATTTTTAAGAAACTCCTATAGTGTGATACCCCTACAAATAAAAAAGGGGGGGGAGGAAGAACAAGAGAGAAAGAGAAGCAATAATTTAAGAGCTGAAAAATAGGACTTACAGAAAAAGGTTAACAGTACAGAACACAATTTCCAAGTAGCCTAAAGTATAAATCACAGAAAAGTTCATCACTCACTATACTAGTTCTCCTGCATCTACTCTGACCGCCAATCAAGGCATTCATCAATCTTTCATAGCTGGAGTATTGGCTACGTTAGAGATCTCAATTCTTCATCATCATAAGTAGGAATCGAGATGAGAAACTTATTTCTACTCATCAAATGAATCTGTAGAGGGAATAAAGGCAAAGCTTCCTCTGATGGTCTCTTACTAACTACACTCCTTCTGCTTTTCTTGATTTCATTGAATTTCAGTTACTCCACTTAAGAGAGAAACACAAAGACTACCGTTTGCATTCAGATTGATCCACAGGGAGTAATAAAAATGATACCTTCTTAGAAACCCTTTTTGTACACGATCGACATTGGAATTTTGATAAAGTTACCATATTAAATCAAAAACAGCAGAAAAAACATAAAGAACTTCAGTACTCATTTTATGTGATCCTATCTAGGATGCTGTTTTACTTGTTCTGAGGCTATCTGTAAAAAAAAGTTAGATACAGTGTGGAGAGTTGGAATACAGGATGGGGCAAAAGTAGGGTTATAGTTATGAGTTCATAAAATACAGAGTTTATTCTTTTTTAAAAAATGTTTTTATTGATTTTTTTTTTTTTTTTTAGGGAGAGAGAGAGAGAGAAACAACAATGTGAGAGTAAAACATCAATCAGCTGCCTCCTGTGTGCCCACTATTGGGGATCAAACCTATAACCCAGGCATGTGCCTTGATTAGGAACCAAACTGGGAATTGAATTGGGGGGACCTCTCAGTCCATGGGACAAGTCTCAATCCATTGAGCCACACTGGCCGGGCAGAGCTTATTTCTGTATCATTATTAATTATTGTATTATTTCCACATGAACAACTGCACATCTACTTTTGCCCCAGCCTGTATTTATACTGGAAAAGGTTAAAGGCAAAACAACTCCCAATACATAAAAAATTACTGTTCTTTAAAAAAATAAGTTCTTCTGGGATACTCACTATTAATGGGCACAACTTTATTACAATTCAATGCACATATTAGCAATGGAGTCTGAACCAAATAAGGGTGACGGCCACAGTAAAGTAGTAAGGAAACTGAAGAAACTGGGGTTCCGCCATCCCCAGAATTGAAATGAGGCTTTTGATCACTAGACAATTCTATATATAAACATGAACATATTATATACTAGAAGTAGAGGCCAGACTTCTCATTAAACAAAGTAAAATTAAATATTCTCATTTAACTCTACTTCCCATGAAACCCTAATAAAATGACAGTAAAAGAATAGATTAGGGAAAACCTCAAAAGACCCAAAACGACAACCACAGACTAGAGATGTTAGTGAACTTGCAGAAGATAAAAAGCAGATGAAAAAAAAGTGGAAGCCCAAGTGCCTCTAAGGGACAGATGAAAAACAAACACCGATTCACTCCTGAAGACCTGGGGGTTGGCTGGGGGGTGCTGCTGCATCTAAAATCACGAGTCTGGTAATAAATCCTTAAAAGAACCATTTCAAGGCTCAGATGGTTAGAGCGTCCTCCCAATTTGCCACAGTTGTGGGTTCAATCTCCCAAGTAAGGGCACATACAAGAATCAACCAATGAATGCATAAATAAGTGGAACACATCGGTGTTTTGCATTCTCTCTCTTTCCTTCCCTCCCTCCCTGCAATCCCCTCCTTCTCTCTCTCTAAAAGTCAAAAATAAATAGACAGATAGATAAATAGAACTTTTTTTTTTAAAGGACCATTTCAACCCCCAGACACTTAACCTTTCTTTCAACTGTAGGTTAGGCTTCACAGAAGTTGCCCAGGAGACTCTGGTGGAGAAACTGAAGGACAGCAATGAGGCATGAAGAGGACACAGGTCTGAGCTAAGCTGCTCCTAGACAGAGACTGGAACGGGAAACAAACAGCCCTCCAGAAAACGCTGCAGCTACTGAAATTGGGGGAGAGGAAATGGACAGGGAGCTCTTTTCATAAAAGCCTGTTTAGAGTGAAACCCACGTTCCACCCATAATACCCCAAATCAGCTTTTCAGAATTTCGATTTTATATATAAATTAAGTTTGAGGAAAACTTCTAATAGGAAAAGCAGAGTTTAAAATGGGGTGGGGCAATGAATTTAGAGGTCTCAGAAACAATCTGGTAAGTGTAAGAAAACCTCAGCAACAACAAAAACTATAAATGTTAACCTGAGAAAAATAACAAAAAATATGCCTTCATGAAACAAGATAAAAAACCCAAAAGGAACATTCTAAGAAATAACCCATGAACACAGACAATAGCATGGGGAAAGCCTTGGGTGGAGGGGGGCAAAAGGGAGAAATGGGAGACATCTGTAACACTATCAACAATAAAGTAAAATTTAAAAAGAACTAAATTTCTTATCTACCACAATAGGAAGTCAATAGGTCAGGGTGCCTGCAGGAGGAAACCAATCAATGCGTCTCTCTCACATGATGTGTGTGTGTGTCTCTCTCTCTCTCCCTTCCTCCCTTCCACTCTAGCTAAAAATCAATGGAAAAATATCCTCAGGTGAGGATTAACAACAACAAAATCTAAGAGTAAATTCCAGAAAAACCAGTCCAAGGAGTAATTAAGTAGTCTCCTCTGCAGAGGAGCAGGAAGGTGGAGACTGCTGATTCTTTGTTATAAGCTTTACGTCTTGCAGAGATGATTCCCAAAGCAAGGGGAGGTATACATGTCACTTCAAGTGCTTTCCGCAAATCACACAAGAAATCTATTCATACATCATAATTACATACTAGTATTTGGTACCACACCAATTTTGTTCAATTTAACTTACTTTATTACCTGTATCATATATACTTATATATATTTAAGTATATAAAAAAATATATATATTTAAAACACTCATCATGGATCCACCTAACAGTATAGTACACCACAATTATATAACACAGATTTGTGGTGTTTTCCGATGTTGCAGAAGAGTTAAAAATTCTAATGAAAATTCTTCCAAAGTTTTTATAATGTATAATTACTAGATTTACCTTCGCACAGATTGGGGTTGTATTTTTCCCCTATATTTTGTACTTTTATACCTATACTAAAACAATGTCAGAGGTAATATGACAAAGACTCTATTGACACATGAAGGCATTTATAAAATTATTTGGACCACTTATTTATAGACATTTGAATAATTCTCAAAGAATCAAGAGATCATTTGGTCTAAACCACATGAAATTTCGGTTATGAGAAAATTTTGACACAAAATAGAAGAAAAATCAGGCTTACTAGGAGAAACTATTCTATTTCTAAGACTCTTAAGCAGTCAGACAACTTTGTTCCCTTCCATTAAAAAAAATTTCAAATTTCAAAATCAACTTTCTTGGCATTGAGTCTACTGATAAAAATGAACGAGTTTTCTTTAATAAATTGTGAAATGTAGTCATCATTTTTAAAACTATTCCCAACAATAACTCTAAAAGCTAAGCATCAATGAATACTTACATTGACTAATCCAAAATAGTGCTCATTGACTGGAAACTGTTCTGGACCAATCTCTTTCTCTAATGCCGAGGCATTGGCGCCCTACAAAATGAAAAACAAAAATCTTAGTATTTAGAGTATTTTCATAACAATTATTTGGACATTATGGAGACATCATTTAAATAACTAAGTTCCCTATAATTACCTAACACTACTGAAAGAAAATAAAAAAGAGTAGTGAAGAACAAAGGCTTTTAATATTACTAAAAACTAGTCTGTAGAAACTTTCTCATGTAACCAAAGCATGGAGTAAGGAATTATATTCCTAACTTGTTCCTTTTATCTAGATAATGAATTAAAGTCCCTACTGTATCATGTACTCTAAAAGGAGCTCGTGTAAAAAAAAAAGTTTGTAATCTGATAGCAGCCATCTCAGAGAGGTAAAATTTTGTGAAATTAAAATGCATATAGCCCTGGCCAGTTTGGGCAGCGGTTAGAGCGCTGGCCTGCGGTCCAGAGAGACCCGGGTTCAGTTCCCGCTAAGGGCATGTACCTCAGTTGCAGTTTGTCCCCGGTCCTGGCTGGGTCGTGCGGGTGGCGGCCACTGAATGTGTCCCTTTCACGTCAATGCCCCCCCCCACACACACACACGCTCTGAACAAAAAAATGGGAAAATGTCCTTGAGTGAAGATTAAAAAAAATCAATAAAAAAAAACACTTTAAAAAAGATGCATATATTCAGTGGCATAAGTTCTTTAGAGGCATATACCTGAGAAATCCTCACATAGGACTAAAGGTGACAAGAGAATGTTTACTGAAGTGTCATTAATGACTGCACAGCTGACAGCAATCTAGATGGTCTATAAAATATGATAGCATGTTATGTAGTAAGAATAAATAAACATTTACATACAGAAACATGGAGAGCCCTGGACAGTTTGGCTCAGCAGTTATAGTGTTGGCCCGAGGACCAAAGGGTCTCGGGTTTGATTCCCAGTCAAGGGCACATACCTGGGTTGCAGGTTCAATCCCAGCCCTGGTCAGGGTCGTGTGGGAGGCAACCAATCAATGTGTCTCTCTCACATCAATATTTCTCCCTCTCTTTCTCTCCCTCTCCCTTCCTATCTAAAAATTAATGGAAAAATATCCCCGGGTGAGGATTAACAACAACAGAGAGAAAGAAAAACAAATGAACACAAAACTCCATCATATATGTAACAGCACACACTCACTCTGCCTCCTCAAGGACACTGGCATAGGGTTACCACCACCTTTAGACCTTTAGTATACAGAAGCCCACCCCTCTGCCTCCTGACAGAGGCACATTCCTGAACCTGAGAAGCCCAGACCTTTGTTAGACAACACATCCTCAACTTCCGGATGGGGCAAGCCTGAAAATAAGTATGAACTGATTGATTAAAGGGACCTCTTGGGTTAGTGGTCAAGGTCTACCAAAGCAAGGTATTTCCTCTAATAACTTCCAGCCATCCAGTACTCCGTGTGTGTGTTATTTTTATATAACATCCTGACACAATTACTAGTTTACAAATACCATTTATTTCTAAATTAGGCTACCAATAACGGTTTTATAACAATATCAAATTCAATTATTATAGCAACTTCAAGACACACTGACCAAAACAGTCTTCATGGGAATGTGGCAAGCCCCACTCTCCATCCTTGCCAGCTCAAGTATCTTGCCACAAAACTTCCTCACCTATGTTCAAAACTACCAGTAAGCCCAGATGTTTACCACCTACTGTTAAGAATTCAAACTGAAATTGTTTTCCCCCCCAAATGAGTATAAATTCTTCCCCACCAAAAAAAAAAAAAAAAAAAAGGAAGAAAAAGGGTGCTATTATCCAAAATACAACCTCATACACATCTATGTGGAATGAAGTCAGTTACATACATCTTAGGAAAGTGTCCTTGGCCTTAGAATGAACTAAAGACAGAACAAGATGTGAACATTCTCTCTCCAGTGTAATTCCAATCACATGCCACACACCGTGTAGTCTAACCACCCAGCCGTCCCACTTGTTCCCATATATATCACATACTTTCATGCATAGCTTAGAAAGCCTTTCACCATCCTCTCGTCCTCAAGTTTTGAGTATGGGCCAAGTTATTAGTCTCTGTATGCCTCACAGTCCTAACTATAAAATGATAATATTATCAACTACTTTATAGGGTAGCTATGAGGCAGGATAATAAGAAACTAGGAAAATTTCCTTGGCAAGTGAAATCAAACAAACAGTTCATTCAAACTGGCCTCATCCAACACCCTGACTCACCTGCCTCCTTCTCCCTTGCAAGACCACTCTCTTAAGCATTAAGTTCTCCAGACAATGAGGTTCTGATCAGCATCAAATAATCTTAGGAACAAAACCTTGGGTCTGTTGACCACAGAGATGAGACAGAGCTTTGGTCAAACTACAGATAACATCTAGGTCTCAGTTGTTTCAGTTCCACACCCAGAAAAGCAGCAAAAGCAGAGGAAGCTGACATCAGGACCAGATGCAATAACCAGTGACCCCCATCCCAACACAGACTAATCAATAGAGACAATGACCCTGATCCTATAGCTCATTCTGATGAATCAGCATATTAAAAGACACACCTGAAAAGGTGATAAATATTCTACACTGAGATTTCCTTTAAAATTCCTACCTTTAGAAAAAGAGCCCTGGCTGGTTTGGCTCAGCAGTTAGAGCATCAGCCTGCGGTCCAGAGAGACCCAGGTTTGGTTTCCCCGCTCAGGGCATGTACCTGGGTTGCAGTTTGTCCCTGGCCCTGGATGGATCCTGTGGGTGGCAGCCACTCAATGTGTACCTTTCACGTCAATGTTTCTCTCTCTCTTCCTCTCTCTCCCTCCCACTCTATCTGAACAAAAAAAATGAAAAAATGTCCTCAGGTAAGGATTAAAAAAGATAAAAACCCTTAAGACAAAGGACCCAGTGTGAGCACATGTGCTCTCTCTCTCTCTAGCAGGCCTGCGACTTCCTTCTCCAGGAGTGTATCTTTGCCTTCTTTTCTCCTAAATTCTAAAGGCCCTTCTTTTGCCTCTGTAACTTGTTTCCTGAATCCAAGCAGCCCAGATGGCTCACTTCTGCCTCTGTGACTTTCTCTCTAAAAGACCATGGCAGCTCTCTGAACAGCTGGCTTGAATCTTCTCTTTGAGTGTATTTTCATTTTATATGCTAAATAAACTTCCTCTTGCACTAAAGTTCTTGGCTCTGAATTCTTTCTTTGTCAAACTCAAGAATCTAGGCCCGTCAAGCACTGGTAACAGTTACAAATTAATCAAACTTTAAACTTTTGAAAAGGTACCTGGCAGTGCCTGGTACATAAGCAGATGCCAAGTAAGTACTGGTTCTCTTCTTCCCCTTCCCGTCAATCCCAGGAGGGAAAAAAAGCTATTCTTGTGAGTTAGTAATATTAATAAGTATCATCTACTCCATGCAAAGGCTAATAAATAACTATGTGACACCATCTACTGAGCTCAGTGATTATGATCCTGGACTGTCAATGACAAACTTGACCAAGTACAGCATCATCAGTTAACCTCAGGGGCACTACCCTTTATACAGAAGTCTAGTCTATTTCTTATTCAACCATCAGATTTTGGCTGTAAAGTCTTTCCTGAGAAGCTAATTAGAAGATGGGAACAGAAAAAGAAGGTGAGGAAAACTTCAGAAAGGAACCAAATTGTCCCACCCTCCTCCATCCTGCACTGGAGCCTAGAGAACGAAAGGAAGCTGAGTGACACCTAAGCCCTCTGTCCTGTTCCATGGGAACCAGGCTGTGTCTCATTCATCCTATGTTTGGCACATGGTGGGTGCTCAATAAATATTTATTACATTTTTTTTTTTTAAGCTAAGAAATAAGAGAAGGGGTCAAAAATCATAAGAAACAAATGAGACAGCTATGATTTAAAAACACAGATCCTTGCCCTGGTCGGTTTGGCTCAGCGGTTAGAGCATCGGCCTGCAGTCCAGAGAGACCTGGGTTCGGTTCCCGCTAAGGACACGTACCTTGGTTGCAGTTCGTCCCCAGCTCTGGTTGGTCGTGTGGATGGCGGCCACTCAATGTGTCCCTTTCACGTCGATGTTTCTCTCTCTCTCTCTCCCTCCCTCCCTCCCTCCCTCCCACTCTATCTGAACAAAAAAATAGAAAAATGTCCTTGGGTGAGGATTAAAAAAGCAAAAACAAAAACAGATCCTCTCCTCGGTCTGGCCAAGTCCACAAAGTAACCCCTGAAGATTCCAACATAGTACTCCCCAAAAGCCTAAAAAAGAGCAGAACCATAATCTAAAGAGATCTGGGAAGAGGAAACTAAGTGTGAGAAAGTAGAAACAGCACGGCTGGTGTGGCTCAGTGGTTGAGCATTGACCCATGCACCAAGAGGTCACTGGTTCGATTCCCGGTCAGGGCACATGCCCAGGTTGTGGGCTCAATCCCCAGCAGCGGGCATGCAGAAGGCGGCAAATCGATGTTCTCTCTCATGGATGTTTCTATCCCTCTCTCCTCTCCCTTCCTCTTGCTCTAATATAAATAATAAAGAAAAAGAATTTTTTAAGAGAAAGTGGGAACAGCCATAGACCATCATCATTTAACCTTTCTGGATTTAAGAATCTCCATTTGCAAAATAAAAGGGTCAGTCTACTCAGTCATTTTCAAACCCCCCAGCTCCAAGTTTATCTGTTGGGTTTTCAAGTAAACCTTTAAACAAAAATAAGGTTTTCACAGCTAAATATGTTTTAAAAATTAAAAGATTAAGTAATTTCTAAAGTCTCTTCCAGCTCAACATTTCATAGTTTCCAATCACTTTCTTCTAATAATATTATGATATTAACACAAAACTCCATAATTCAGCAGTGGATTATGATTACAGATGATAGCAGATGGAAATGGCAAGTACAAACAGAGAATGGACTTTACTTTAGGACAGGTCTAAGTTAAGGTACAGTGTAGTAGACTACACTCTACCACAGTAATAATGCTGCAGTTCTGTGATTGCAGGGCAATATTCTTGGGCATGGATTCAGGATTTTCTCTGCAGAAATTATCAGAGTGCATCCCTATCTCTAGCCAAATGCTAATTGCAAAGGCAAAGAGTATACTAAGCAATCCAGTTTCTAATGAGTGTTTTTTTAATTTAAAAGTCTTTTCAACACTAGAGTTAGATGTAACTAGTGAAAACCAACTACAAAGACAAAAATTTGCTGTACAACTTTCAGCATCTTTAGAGTTCTCAAACACAGACATCCCTTGAAGAGTTTGTTGAAGGCTGATTAACTCATGTTAATGGTCAACCAAGCACCCCAAGATTTAAAATGATCCTAGAACAAGTCAATATTTCCATCCCCACACTTGAGAAATAGGATCCTACTAAATTTAACAATGCGTTATGAAATCAGTAATTCTTTACTTGGGGAAAAAATGGTGGTGTGTTTAGTTAAGAATTTCTTCTCGAAGGCTTTCATAGGCATCGGGATTCATTTGTCTTTTCTGAGTACATGACACACACAGAGAAGGAAGATGACATTTCTGACACACTGTCTCCATTTTTGTAACTTACACAAAAGGTTATTTTAGACTCAGTACCTATTACTACAGAATTCATCATGAAGAAGCAATAGGATATTCCTGACCCTCCTGATTAAAACAACCAAAAAGTAAATAAAATTTTAAATTAAAAAAATAATAATTTACTGAGCTGATGAGAAAATAAAGAATCTAAGGAAACCAAAAAACAAAGTGATGAGGGCACCCTGGGAGATAAGCAAATGCCAAAAACAGATTTCACACTGAGTGTATTTGCCAACCCTAGTGACCTTTAGCTTTTCTTCTGACAACTGAATAAAATGAAGTACAGGAAAACCAGTGCTAAAACGTAGGGCCCACCCAAGATAGGGAGATATTGTAACCTGAAAAGGGCTATGTCTTCAATGTAAGAGAGAACATGAAATAATTCTGTACGAAGGAAACCTGCTTGACTTGTCTTTGCACTGAAGGAGGTGGGGCAATAAATATCTTCCAAACTTTCAAAGCCACAAGTTGGTCCTCATGACAATCTGTGACCCAAATTCACACAAGATGTATGATCCTTAAAAACAAAACAAACAAACAAACAAAAATACCTTAAACACAAAGTAATTCAGAGAGATCCTGAGTTTACAATACTTTCTTCTATCCCACAACTAGCAGAATTACAAACTCACTCTGGAAGACGAACTTAATCCTTCTCACAGAGTTCCCATAGCCCTGGCCAGGGGGCTTGTTGGTTGGAGCGTTGTTCTGTACACCAAAAGGTTGCAGGTTCCATCTGAGGTCGCGAGCGCACACAGGAGGGAACAGATGGATGTTTTTCTCTCACATCGTTGTTTCTCCCAGCACCCCCAACCCTTCCTCTATCTCTATCAAATCAATAAAAATATATCCTCCAGTGAGGATTTAAAAAAAAATTAGTTCCCACAAATAAAATTCAGAGAGATATGAGTTCACAGTCAAAAAGCATACACATACAGCCCTGGCTGGTTTGGCTCAGCGGTTAGAGCGTCAGCCTGCGGTCCAGAGAGACCCGGGTTCAGTTCCCACTAAGGGCGCGTACCTCGGTTGTAGTTTGTCCCCGGCCTTGGTTGGTCATGTAGGTGGCAGCCACTCGATGTGTCCCTTTCACGTCGATGTTTCTCTCTCTCTCTCTCTTCCTCTCCCTCCCTTCCATTCTATCTGAACAAAAAAAAAGGAAAAATGTCCTCCAGTGAGGATAAAAACAAAACAAAACAAACAAACAAAAAAAGCATACACATACAGCCCGGCCAGTGTGGTTCAGTGGACTGAGCAATGTCCCATGGACTGAGAGGTCCCGGTTCGATTCCCAGTCAGGGCACGAGCCGGGGTTGTAGACTTGATCCCCAGTAGGGGGCATGCAGGAGGCAGCTGATCAATGTTTCTCTCTCACATGGATGTTTCTCTCTCTAAAAAAAAAATCAATAAAAACATATTTTAAAAAAGCACACATATACATACGAACAGGAAAACAAAGTACCATAAAGAAAAGCCAGCAGAAAGACAGCTGAATTAAACTCAAAGACATTAAATATCAGAACTATTTCAGACATGATATAAAACAAATGCTTAATATATGCCAAGAAATAACAAAGGCTCAATTATAAGAACAAAAGCAGATTTTTTAAAAGAATCAAATAAAACTTCTAAATATAAAAGTTATATTGAAAGTTAAACCTTGATGGTAACTATGGAGACAGTAAAAAAGAAAAAAAAATCACTGGCTGCCACGGGTCAGGGAGAGGGAGGGATAAATATGCAGAGCACAGAGGATTTT